TTTTTAGCCTGGAAAAGAAAAGTGTGACAGGGGACATAAAAGGTTCTTACAAGGAAGAGGGTGAAAAATTATGCTCCTTAGCCTCTGATGATAGGACAAGAAGCAATGGGTTTAATTTCAGCAAGGGAGGTTTAGGTTGGACATTAGGAAAAACTCCCTGTCAGGATAGTTAAGATCTGGAATAAATTGCCTAGGGAGTTTATGGAGTTTCTATCATTAGATATTAAGAGTAGATTAGACTCTATAAGGGATGGTCTAGACAGTGCTTGGTTCCTGCCATGAGTGCAGGGAACTGGACTCAATGACCTTTAGAGGTCCTTTCCCAGTCTGATATCTATGATTTACAATTGGCTTATTGTGCTTGCATAGTTCTTATAAATAATTCACACATCTCAATATTGCACTGGCATGCACACCTAATGTCCACTTCTTGTGAATTTATTTTCTAATGATTCTGATGCAATCAGTGTCTGAGAAGATGTTGGTTTCAACTCTGATTATTAGTTTTCCGGTACAGCTGCCAACTGCTGCTTGTATGACTTTTCTGATTTAGAAGTCTGTATTTATCTGTTTCTGGTATGGTACAATCATGTGTCTTAGTTCCTTCTTGTTACAGCTGTACATTTCTCATGTAATATCTTAGTATGTTATGATCATAATAGCTCTGAACTTGTAGCTACCATCCTTGCTGATTGCCAACCTTGTGTTGCTCTATCATTGAGGTCTGTTATACTCTGAAACACAGATAGTGGTTTTACCCTCCTGTAGTTGCTTTAATGATCTGTGAACCCTCTGAGAGTTGCCTTCATTTTCTTCAGTATCTGTTCATGTTCTGCCTGAGTTGATACTGCTATTATCATGTCATATTCTGTGTTATGGATTCCTGAAATAACTCCATATGTATCACTATTTCTTTGTAGAAATACTTTACTGGTTACCTATTCTTCCAAAAGGTAGATGGAGAAACTTGTATCTGTGCCACAGTGTACTGAAAGTGAATCATTCAGATGACTCTTAGCTAATGTAACTTCCCTATATCCATCTTTTTTATCTTGTATAGTGAATATGCTTTTTACGAGCTTCTTGACACTGAACATCTTCCACTGTGGGGTGGATCAATACTGTCCCAGTATAGCCTTAAGATCTTTGGTATGCCAACAAAGCCTAATCTTTTTATTTTTCTTCAGTTATTACCACATTGTTAACTCATGAAGTGGGTGCATTCCTTTTGGCTATGACCCTTTCCTTTTCTAACTGCTTGAGTGCATCTTTGAGTGTGTCACTACAGAAGATATATATCTGCAGCTGGGCATGAGAGGTTTCTGATGGATTTGTATTTGAGATGCTTTCCATAGAATTATCTTGTTCCATCAATACTGCTGGATATTGCTCAGGTCCTGGGTGCCTTCATGAACAGCATGTGTATTCCATATATTAGATGTAGTTGTGTACTTTCCACAAGTGGTATTATAGGTGTGTGATGCTATTTCTGCACTATGTACTGGGGTGTGATTTCTAGCTCACGTATGCATACTTATGCTAACTTAGTGAGAATTTGTGTGAGTATAAACAGTAGCATAGCCACAATAGCATGAGCAGTAGTAGCACAGCTTAGGCATTCTGCGTAGACTGCCACCTAAACATCCATAGTGCAAGTACTAATATGTGCTTGCAGCTATCCCATGCTGCCATAGTTACGTTACTATTTATGTTTGTGCTAGTTCATTGAATCTCAGCTCATGAACAACATGTGAGAGCTGGGAATCATATCCCTTGCTATGCAGAGGTAGCTTTCGTAATGATGAACTTGAGGACTGATCTTATTCTTATCTGTTGCTGTGGTTAGGGTGATTTATTCAAAGTCTGTTCTGGAATTCCCACGTGTTTGTAAGTGTAGCATTTATTTCGATGAGACTTGGTATCTTTTTGCCCCCAGCCCTGCCCATTCCACCTGAGGCCCTTCCCCTTCTGGGTGGCCCAAGGCTACTTCAAAAATGCCTGAAGTGGCCCTCTGTGAAAAATTATTGCCCACCCAAAGTCTGTCGACCTTATAATCTCTTTCTCCACCCCCCAATATTTCCACAAAAGTGTTCAGTTTCTTTGGATAAGCTTTGGTGTGCTAGGCCTTGACTATACTGCACTGAGTACCCTTTTGTGGAAGAGCCTACATCAACTTGTCAGTGTGTGGCCCAGATACGATCTTTTTTTTTTTTTTTAAATAACTTGAGGCTCTGCAAATCTTACTTTTAGCCCAAATGAGCTGCTTCAGCCTTTACTTTTCTCCTTTTATCAGTGTCACTGAATCCAATTCTGTCTCTAAGCATGTCATTTTCAAGATTCTCAAATTCCTGTTTTTTCCTTAGCTCTGACATACTTATTTACTCTTCTCCTAGGTGTGCTTGAAATTAGAACTGGTATAATTTAGATGTCAGATGTTACTTAGTGATGCAATAGTTCCTAAATGTTGTTAATTCCCCATCCCAAATGGGAGCATTTTCAGTTGGCTGCTGTGGGAATGTGTGAGAAACTTCCACAGCTGCCTCATCTTTTCTGGACAGTAAAATGCCTACTTACCTCTCTTCTCTTATTTCATTTGCTTTTGAAGCTTTAAAGCAGGAATTCATTATAATTTTTATGCATGGAAATGTAGTATATCCTCCCTCCACTTACAACACTTACTCTTTGAGTAAAGAGTCAATTTTCTGAGAACTGAAAAACAAAGCTGTTAGTTTGTTAAAAACTTGTTTAAAATGGCTTCCTTTAAGAAATTTAGAATCTGAGACTTTTTGTCATCTCAAATTTTCTTAACAGATTAACAAACTCTTCAAACTTCCACAAAACAAGTTAATTGAAAATTTGTGTTTAGGCTGTATTTAATTAAAGTAGATTATAATTAAGCTCATTTATTAATGACTAATTATTATGATACAATTAACAGGTCAGAAATTAGTTTGCATGCAATTTTATTAGTTTTAATGAGTCAGCCATATGAGGAAAACTGAATGTATTTGTGCACAGTAAAAGATGACAAAACAGCTATGACTTTTTTCATAATTGTATTGCTGTCATGGCATGATTGCAAGGATGAGATAAGGTTATTTTGTTCCCTTAACTGTGTATTTCTGTATATTAACACGTTTGGATTTTTTTTTAAGCACAGCAGAGCAATGAATTTATTTGGTTTTTAGTGTTTGTATTTGGTTTGATTAAACTCTGTATTGTGTTTTTCCTTGTAAAATAAGTATGTAAGATGAAATTTCAACCTTAACTGCATTTCAATATAGGTGACATATTCTAAGACAAAAACCAAACACACAGTGTTGTGAGCTTTGGTGAGTGACAGGATAATTGAGCTATTGATAATACAGATGGGAGGCAGAAAGTTTGGATAACAGGAAATGGGGTTTTTTCCACTGAGTAAAGTCTGTCGTTGGTAGTTGACAGTATTGCATATGTGGGTCTGATGGTTAAGGTTCCCAAGGAATAAATTGTAGAATGTCAAGAGTGTATGAAGGACAAAATTCATTTGGACACTGAAGGGAAAAAAGGAAAACTCCTGACTAAGGTGTGGAAAGTAGAACAATCACCTGAATACAGAAGCAAAAAAGCCCAAAGATGGAGAAAAAGACAATTCAGAGCAGAGGGATGAATGTAAGATGAAGATAGAAATGACTAAAAAGCACTGACACTTGTATTCTTATGATAAGACTATATGGTGGGGATTTAAGTGAGGGATAAATCAAGGCAAAGGAAACAAACATCATTGTCAAAGCACCTGGATTTAAAGCGAAGGGAAAAAGGATGGTAGATGGAGTGACAGATGGGATAAAAAGAGCCTTTTTTTCAGACGGGGTAATTCATTTGTTAGAAATTAAAGGGGAAAAGAAATTGAATAGAGGGTAGGGAACTGGATGATACATGGAATCAGAGAAATCAGAATTGCAAGCAGATAATGTGACTGAACTTCTCACACTAACATTGGTCCCCAACACGGTGCCTGCGGGTGCCATGGCCCCCACCAGGGCATTTATGTGCACCCGCCAAATGATCTGGGCTGGCCCCGGCATGCTGCGCATGTGGGGTGCTGGCCCCGGGTGCGTGGCGCATGGATGGTCCCTGCCCCAGGCGCGTGGTGCGTGAGTGGCCCTGCCTTTGGGCGCCAGGCAGCCCTGAAAGGTTGGGGACCACTGGATTAATAGATATTTAGCACTTTTGAAAATCAGGTCACTTATGTTTAGATGTCATAATTTGGATTAGGAACTGAATTTCAGGCACCTAATTATGCTGAATATATATGATATACATAATACGTAACATAAGAGAGGAAGTTTCAGAGAAGTAGCCAGCGTAAGAGAGGAAGGATGATCATATGATTGTGGCATTGTACAGGTACTTAAAATACATAGCTTCATTTTCTGATTGTTACTTGGGGACATATTTTTAGAAGAATTTAGGCACCTAATGGGATTTTCAAAGCACTAAGTTACTTGATTCCCAAAATGGAAGATATCTGCCTAGGTTCTGTTCAAATTACCTGTAGGCAGCTATCTGCAGTTTTAGGTGCCTAAATTCTTTTAAAAATCTGGCCTTCAAATGTCTTTGTACTACATATCTCTCTTTGTAAATCAGAGATATTTGCTACCTCCCAAGAGTTTTATGAGAATAGTATTTTTGAAGCTCTGGGGGATAGCCAAGTTAGTCTGTACAGGATAAATTACAAAAAAACAACAAATGGTCTGGTAGCACTTTATAGTCTAACAAAACATATAGGTGGTATCATGAGACACTGATGTTTATTATTGCCTAAATAGCTAGATTAATGTGTGTAGCAGTATTAAATCTGTTCCCTGATACATCAGGTAATTATCTAAAAGAGAGAAAATATTTTGCTCTGTGCTTCAAAAGTTGTGGTGTTTGTAAATATTTAATTTTTTTGTCAAAATTTCCCTTTGTCCGCAGAAAATTTTATGTTTTTGTCCTTAATTATTCTTTCTTTTCAGTTTTCGCACTAGCAAAGGAGTTGGGTACTCTGCTCATTTCGTTGGCAACTGCTTAATAGTTACATCATTGAAATCAAAAGGAAAAGGTTTTCAGCATTGTGTGAAGTATGATTTTCAGCCACGCAAGGTAAGCAAAACAGTGTTCACAATGAAGAATGCTTATGAAATTGTGATCAAATGCCTCTGAGGAAGTAGTAAGGCTCCCTAGTGTCAGTAAAAGTGATAATTTCTCACTTATTTATAACTAGTTTCTGTGATTCTGTCATACACATTATATGTCAGTACAGGGCATCAGCACAAGAAACATGGACTCTTTTTTATTATTTATTTGCCATAGCACACAGGCACCTTACTAATGGTGCAGGACTTCATTGTGCTAGGTATTGTACAAAGTGAAAAGACAGTGGCCGCTCCAGGGCTTGAATACTGTTGTAACAATTAGAGTTACGAACAGAGAAGGATTCCCAGAGTATTTTTATAATTCTGATGAATTGATTTAGTTTTGTTTTTAAAAGCTATATATGTCTATGTAACCCACACACCTCATGTGGATACCATGCAGTGGCACCTAGACCACAGCAACAATTAAGACCAAGAGACCTCTACAGCATGGGCTGGGAGCCAGCTGGCTTTTAGCTCAGAGAATAGAGGCTCCCATACTCAGCTCCAGCGGTCCCAGGTTCAAATCCGCCCGGTGGCAGTTACATTTCTCTCTAGTATGCTTCAGCATTCTTCTAAATATTTGGCCCTTCATTTTAAATCTGTTACCAAACTGTACATTGAGACCTGAATTAAAATATCAAGCCAAGCATAATGACAGTCACCTCATCCAATTTTGCAATGGAACATAGGTTGAACCTCTAAAATCCAGGGCACTCTGGCCTGGTGACTTCCATGGTCCGGCAGGACCACAGGTGTCTCTGGGCCAGAGAGCCCTATTAGCCGGGAGTCACGCAGCAAAAAGGTTTATAGCTGGGAGTCTGGCTACGGCCATCAGAAGTGGAGCCGGCGGCTATAGTGGGACTGGCATCCTGGTGAGGACCAGCAGCTGCTGAGGGTTGTCTGGGAGCCTGGCTGGGGTGAGCAGCCCAAGGCTGGCCACCTGACTGGGGCTGGCAGAGGTAGGAGGGCGGCCTGAGCAAGGCTGGTGGCCAGGGCCAGGGTGAGGGGGAAGAGAACAACTGGGGTCAGCAGTGGAGCCAGGCGGGCAGGCCTCAGTTGACCTCCCCTGATCCAGCAAACTCAATTGTTTGGGAACAGTCAGGTTCCAAGGGTATCAGACTAGGGAGATCCAACCTATAGTGAGTAATGAAATGGAACTTAGTGGTAGATGAATGCATTTCTAAGGTTCCTGGAAGTTAAATTACTACTGTGCAAGCCACAGTGATATGAAGTATGGATTAAGTTTAATATCACTTTTCAGTAAAAATGATGTTTGACACATTTAAATACTGCTTGAACTGTTGTTATAAGGAATTTTGTTTAGCAAATGAACACATTTTTCATCTTGTTTTAAAGAGATATTTAAATGTATTTGGATTATCAAAGCCTTCTATTCTGAGAGTTCTTGGTTACTCTTGTAAGGGAGTGGCACACTTGGTCATCTGCATCTTCAGAGGTCTGATCTCCTGATATAGCTTTCATACAGTTAAATTTTGGAAAGCTGACTGATGGAAAGATGCTGGGGAGAAAAAAGATCTGCTCCTGTCCAGCAATAGTATTTTTCAAATTTGTACTGTTTGTTTCTTGCTCTGGGCCCAACTTGTTTTGGATTTGTTAATACAGGCAGTCCCCGGGTTACGTACAAGATAGGGACTGTAGGTTTGTTCTTAAGTTGAATTTGTATGCAAGTCGGAACTGGCGTCCAGATTGAGCCGCTGCTGAAACTGACCAGTGGCTGACTACAGGAAGCCCGGGGCAGAGTTTCTCTGCTCCGGGCTTCCTGGAATCAGCCGCTGATCAGTTTCAACAGCGGCTGAATCTGGATGCCTGGGACAGAGCAGCTGGGGCGCTGCTGGGTAGGTCCTCGCACCTCGGCACTGCGGGGACCGACCCGGCAGCACCCCAGCTACATTACCCCAGGTGTCCCCAAGTCAGCTGCTGCTGACCATTCCAGGAAGCCCGGGGCAGAGTGTGCCCCCCCCCCAGCAGACCAGGGAGACGCAGAGCGGCTTTTCTCGCTGCGGAGGACGCGGGCGGCGGGACCGCGGCGCATCTCGGCGGTCTGCTGGCAGGGGCGCAGCTAGTGCGTGGTGAGTCACCCCGTTCGTAAGTAGGGATCCGACATAAGTCGGATCCACGTAACCCGGGGACTGCCTGTATTTTAATATAACAAATTTTTTTATTACATAGGTGATTAAATTTCTGAATAAAATACTGAAATTTATTTTACTGAATTTACCTTGCTCTTGGTGACTTTGTCATGATAGTAATGGGTCTGCTGGCAGCGATACAGACTTTTTGTTCCCTTATTTGTTCCATGGAGAAATAAGCTTTCACCTTACTCCTAAATCAGTATTAATTTGGGATGTCTCTTATTCCTGGTAAATCATGAACGTTTCTCTACCACCTTCCCCTGTTCATATCTACAGTATGTAATCCTGATGTTTCTATGCATATAGTGATTCTGTTGGCTTCTGGCTTTTTTAACCTTGATTCTGAAATGGACTGGTTATCCAGTTGTCAGTTTGCACATAGCTGCATAGAACTTGCAGTACTGTAAACTTTTTTTTTTTGCCTTTCTTCCAGTGATATAAGTAGCATTGCTATTTGCTTGGGTACTCAGATGTTCTTCAGAGTAAAATCTTTATTTTTTAGCATGCATACTGGCAAACTCATTGCTTCTACTGCTATGTATTTGTGAACCAAAATCCTGGGTATAAATCTGTTAGATTTTTTTCCTGTGTGAGTAGCTCATTTGTCTAGCATATTACTCTGTGGCACGTACACAAACTAATAAGCCCTAGTGGATTCTGTCTGGATCCATTGGCAGTAATCAGACTGTGGTACTCTGTCTTACAAATTGTAATTGCATAGATTTTAAGGCCAGAAGGGAACATTGTGATAATCTTTTCTGACCTCATGTGTTACACAGATTATAGAACCTAACCCAGTAATATCTGCATCAAGCCATGCCTTTTATTAAAATTTAGGACTCCAACACATTGTTGGGTTGGGCATTTCACATATTTAAAAAAACCTAAAATTCCCTGTGTACTCATGACAGAAGTTTCTTTCAAATTAAATGGCCAATCCGAGCACTTTGAAAGGAGATTAAATTCAATTTTCCTGGCTGCATCTATATCTCTGATTAATTTTTCAATCCTCCCACTATCAAATAACACTACATTGCTGGCATAGTATGACACTAAACTACAAAGTGCTTAATTTGGTCCTCTCTACTTCTCTGAGGTCATGTTGTTTAGATTTCAGCACTAGCCAGGAATACCCCATTTGTGATTGCGTCCTTCTGGATCATTACAGCAGCATGGAGCCATGCAGAAGTGTAGGATTTTCCTGTAATCTGGGGAGAGAAGACTTGTCTTAACAGCCGATACCATAATGTGAAGATATATTTATATCAAAGCAAATAACCAATAAGAGTCACTCCTGGGACTTCTCCCTGCTGCAACACAGGGAAGGAATACCTGCAGAATTACATAAGAATGGCCATACTGGGTCAGACCAAAGGTCCATCTAGCCCAGTATCCTGTCTTCCAACAATGGCCGATGCCATATGCCCCAAAGGGAGTGAACAGAACAAGTGATCCTTCTCCAATCATCCATTTCTATCCTCTGACAAACTGAGGCTAGGGACACCATTCCTCCTCATCTTGGCTAATAGCCATTGACCTAACCTCCATGAATTTATCTAGTTTTTTTTTTAAACCCTATTAAAGACATGGTCTTCACAACATCATCTGGCAAAGAGTTCCATAGGTTGACTATAAATTATGGAAATCCCCCCTCCAGAAAGAATAGAAATAGAACCTCTAGCAGTGCTCCAAGTACTTTCCTCTATTTTGAGGATCAGATTTTTTGCCAGGAAGGCCACCACTTAACCTCTGATAGAGGCAGCGGTCCAGGGTGATTGAGGGCTCCTTGGGAGTGCACTAGTTGCCTCCAGGGACTATTGAATAGTCATGTAACTGCTAAAATTTGATGCATTTATATAACTATTCAGTTACATGCGATCTAACATCCCTAGCCTCCTTGTTGGAGTCTATACCCAGAACTGTACTATCTCGCACCGCACAGGGGTCTGTACAATGCAAGCTCATTAATATAGTTTGCTTCCCCTTAATATGGGGAACCTATATTAACCCTGCGTTGGCTAAGCTGAGATTTTTCTAGATTCTTCACTTAAAGGCAAACTGGTTAAAATTAAACATAAAGTAAATGTATTACTTATAGAAAGATAGATTTTAAGTGATTCTAAGTCTGGGCAGGGCAAGATGCAACCTGGGGGCCGGATTCTGCCTGCCTAACTCTTTGATCTGGCCTGCAGACTTCATCTGGCCACGTATTTATATCCTGATACTCATGACACCAAATTCCCAGGTGGTAGCTCAGACAGCAGGATCCTATTTAAATAGATCATGGCTCATGGTCGCAGCGCTACCCTGGCAGGGGCCGGAACCATGAGCTGTGGTAAATAGGACAAAAACAAAGTACTCCACTCAGGAAGGAACAATCAGTTTCACATTTATTTATGTATTTAAATATTTTTACCCCAACTCTCTATTATAATATTCGACACAGTTTACAACATTTTTTAAATGAAATACAAATATATATAAAAATTTAAAATACTAGACCTCAAAAGAACATAAAACCTGCTAAAAAATATTGAGAAGGGGAACATACACACATAGACAGTTAGGAAATGACTATCCAGGAAAGAGTACTGCAGAAAAGAATCTAGGGGTCATAGAGGACCACAAGCTAAATATGAGTCAACAATGTGACACTGTGGCAAAAAAACAAAACAAAATCAAACATCATTCGGGGATGAATTAGCAGGAGTATTGTAAGCAAGACATGATAAATAATTCTTCTCTACTCTACATTGATTAGGGCTCAAGTGGAGTATTGGGTTCAGATCTAGGCACTTCTTCCACATCTAGA